AATAACTAACTCGGATTTTATCATAGAGTATCGTGACCACATTGTAGAAGATTTCCATTTATTTTCATTTTCCATTATATTAAAATATGCCAGTAAAACTTCTTCGGTAACTTGCCATACTCCTCTTGTATCGCACCACTGTTGGAAGTGCTTGTACCCTAACCGATACTTTATTCCGGACTTGGAGGGCCCCAAACGTGCTACTGCATCATTAGCCACGGACTCAATTTCGTTTAGGTTTTCCATTTTCGCACTAAATTTGCGCTTGCGGTTGCAACAACAATAAGCTGTCTTTAATAATTGCAAACAACTGTCAAACAACTGTAACCAGGGAGACGCAAATCCTACTGACGACTTAATTATTTTAATTTCTAACATCTAGACGACTTTGATAGTTGTCACAGTTAATTTCGAGTAAAAATAGCGTATGAATTGTACTATTTATGGTTGAAAATTGCTACGTTTGAAGAAAAAATAATATACTTTATTCGGCAAAGAAGCTACTTTTCTTGACTTGCCCTGTATTACGCGTGTCACTTCGTAAGTCATGCTTCTCGGCCTCATAAGGTAATATACTATTTCGACCATAAGCTCCAGTATAAAAATACATTTGAGAACTCCAGGAGGCACAAATCTATGATTGATTTTATAGTCACTAATAGAAAACCGAAAGCAGATTTTAGATATTCAAACTTTAAACTCAGCAGACGCAGGGAGTGAACACAAACCAGTACTAGCAAAGATAATAATGAAAATAACACCAAAAAATTTTCTAAGGAAATCACCGAGGAAAAATTTAATGTAGAGTCACTGTGGAACGACAAGTAAAATGTACCAAACGAAGCTAGCACAAAAAAGACACCTGAAACAAATAGACATCGAATATATAAACGCGAGCTTTGAGAAAATTAAAAACGACATTGACAACATTGAAGAGGCAGCAACAGAATCTCTAGGAAAACTCAAAGTCAAACTGAACAAAAGAAACAACAACAATATACCATGGTTCAGAAAAGAAATAAAAGAGAAATGTAAACAAGCAGTTGGTAAAAAAAAAAACAAAAAATGAACACTGGAAACAGTTTGCAAAGAGTATGGAAAATGACTTCTACGATACACGAAACCAAATATGGAGATTCATAAGAAACAAACTGGAAAGAAATGGCAGAATTGAACAAATATAATATTTTACCAGCAAACGAATGGAAAAGATACCTGACGGAACTGTTTAAACGAAGGAAAAATAATAGCAACACAATAACGTACCTGAATTGAGACGCAAAATAGAGCTCAGTTTTTAGGAAGTAGGGATAGCCATAAATTCACTCAAAAATAGATAGTTACCAGGACCAGACGGAATAACCAACAAGTTTCTAAAACACGAAAAAAAAGTGTAACCCTAGAGATGACAAAACAAATTAAAAACGAAAAAAACTGGGGTAATTCTTGGAAATTTTATAATTTGAAGTCCAGAAATGCCATTCTATTTTTATATTATTGCAAAAGGAGAACTTCGGCTCCTCCGCCATTTTTAAATTTTTTTAGATTTCTTTCCATGAGCCCCCACCACGGTCTCAGATCGGGAATAAGCTCCGTCGTTCACCTTCCCTTTCCACTATCATTCGCCCATTCTCTCTGTCACTCTACTATCATTCTTTCTCTCTCATTCTCATCTATATTCACATCCATCCTCCTCGCATACATCCTCGCCTGCTCTTTATATAAAAAAAGAACGGTATCACCGCTCCAATGACATATAGGGCTTCTATCAGCTTAGCGTATTTCGCAGTGTTTAGTACACTACACGACACAGTGGCAGCGTAGGTTACCACCGACTGGAAAACTCCATTTAGCGCCTTTCTTTTGGTGCTACCTAGGCCTTCAATGTTTGGTATCAACCATATTAACGCCTCCAGATTTCGGTTTGCCTTCTCTACTGTCTTTTGGATGTGTACTCCGAACCTTAGACCTTCCGAGAACCAGACTCCCAGATACTTAATTGATTTAACCGGTGTAACCTCCACACATTCCACTATAAAGCGAAGAAGGGATTTTTCCCTGGTTCCTTTGAGAACTAACACCTCAGTTTTCTGAGACGCTGAATTATGTTATAATACTCGATCTTCACTTGCTTTATATCTACTTGCAGTTTTTTCATTCTTTGCGATGTACGGTTCGGCATTTTTTTCCAATACAGTCCCGTTTCATCAGCGTTAAATACTTTATTGGAACAATAGTCCCCATCTTCAATTCTATTGTATTCTAAGTTTATCAGTAAATAGTTGACTTTAATTAGTATCGACTATAATCATCCTTGGTTAGACAGTGATAGTATAAAAGGCCCGGTTTCAGATAACAATAATTTACCTGAGGTTCAAGATCTTAACAATGGGCCAAGTCAGATAAATTTAATAATATTTACGACTGCACTAATTGAACAACCATTTTCTGCCAAACAAACTTTAAAAATAAACATATTTATCCCACACACATCAATCTATTCCTAATTAAGGACGCGTTGCAACAGCTCCAATTTTCTGGGAAAATTATATCATTTATGTGGGTCCCATCCCATGTCGGAATATCTGGTAATGAGCTAGCAGACAAAACAGCGTTTGAAGCAATAAACAATGTGAACATTCCGACTACAACAGATATACCAATATCAGATACTAAGACTTTATTAAAGACTCATGTGAATAAAATATGGCAAGAAATATGGGATCAAACAAACACAAATCTTAAAAATATCAAACCAGACGTATCCTCAAAAAATCTTAATATACCACCAAAACGAAAAGACCAGGTAATTATCAGCAGACTCCGACTTGGGCATACACGACTTACACACGGCTACATAATCTCCAAAGAACCACTACCAATGTGCCAAAGATGCCAAACACCTTTCACAGTCAACCATATATTAATAGAATGTCCAGAGTACACCTCAGCCAAGGCGATATTCAAGATACCCAACAGCCTGAAAGAAGCACTGGATATAAAATTCAATGAAGTTCTGTCTTTTTTAAAACACTGTAAACTCTATAATAAATTGTGATTAAATTTTTGTTACATTTACATACATGTACATAATACCATATTGTTGTAAGTCATAACTTTTAAAATGTATCTTATTTTCTATATTTGTATCATAAACCTACCGCTAATAACCCTAGTGGTTGATGCGGATAAATAAAAAAAAAAAAAAAACTTTAAAAAGAAATTTTAAGCAAGTGAATTTTATAAATTCAATAAAATATGTACATATACACCTTTTTACTTAGTATTTAATGATGACGATATCATATAATAAAATACCTTGTATAAAATTCTAAACAAACACGGCTCTTCAAACTTTTTTCGATGAATTCATTTTTTTTCTCTCGTTCCGTCTCTGGCTTTGGCAACTCCTGCAAAATCTCTGCGAGTGTTCTGCAGGCATTGCAGGGAATAGGAATGTGGGGCATCTTGCCAAATTCGGAAGCGCCAACCGGTCTATCCTCTTCGGCCCTATACGATGGAGTTGTACGTTTTGAGTGGGAGGTAGTAGATATATATTTTTACTTTCACTTTAACAAGCACGAAATTTATGCTTCTGATTCTTTGGAAAAAAAAGTTTCAACAATATCTACTAGAACACGGTGATATTCTGAGCTTTAATTATCAATGTTTCTGCAATAAATATTTATACACTACTTATACAACTTAAATATTCAGATATATGGCATAAAAAAGATAACCGTTTTTAGATATGTTGGTAATAAAGAAGCAAGAGGAAAGTATAGGCAATACTGTATACTGAAAACCCACCCATGCTGATAGGTATGGATTGGTCTTCGCTCACAGATTCTCACTGATATCCTGCATAATTAAATTCGCTAATCAATACCTTAACTACAAGATAAAAAAAAGTGACAGATGAGGTCCATAAAACGATGAAATGTACAAAGTTAAAATAGCTTTAAGAAAAAATAGCTTCTTTCTGTCTGCGATTGAAAAGGCACAAAAAATTTGAAGTATAATTAGAGTCATCACAGCCAAAGAAAGAACTGCAATACATATATCAAGCAAAAATATGTTGACTATCGAATGTGTAGTAAGTGTGTAATAACTGCTAAGTTCTGCTTGTTTTCGTAGTACTTTAGTCCTAGCACATGTCCATTCAATATACTATCAGCTATAGCCAATATATATATATATATATATATATATATATATATATATATATATATATATAATATATATATATATATATATTGATTGGCTATAGTTTCCAGTAAGAGAGTAAGATAGCTTTTGGATCCAAGCTTTTTGGACCATGGTTAGTTCTGGGCCGAACATCTTTTCGGCCTTACTCTTTTGTAAATTATTGTCCGTGATTTAGAAGCATTGTTTCTCTGAAATACTAATAAATTAAATTATCACTCAAATATTAGTTGCATTAGTAGGATATTGATGAGAAAATAATCCAGCTTAAATCTATACTATATTAAACATAATAGTTTTAAAAATAGAGCTCATTTGCGTCTATTTTTCGTTCTTAAATTTGTCATAAACTTTCCGCAACCTTTTTAGCTAGAGTATATGCAAATTATAGTGATAAACAACCTTCAGGATATAGTTTTATAATAATCAAAGGTCCAGCTTGTACGGCATCTGACTGGACTAAACAGATATTAAGTTTTCGATTTCTTTAAACATTTGAAAGATATGTATTAAAATAAGATCCAAGTAACGAAATAGACAGAAATATTTTTCTACGGTACGTAAATTTTCAACGATGACGGTTTTCCGACGCGCGAGTAATTGTGCATGTGCGATGCATGGAATCTTTAAATTATTTTAGCAATTTATTAATCGTCATTGTAAAAGCCAAACGCATGGGAAATTGTATACGCCTAAGTAGGGAGGGATTGAGATATTTTATCGTTTGTATTTTTGCTTAATGGAAATTATTCATTACGTTCAAGTATGTGAACGGGCTTTTCGACTTATTCTAGGGATTGGTAACTCTAGAATACAGACTATCCTCCACAATTATCCAATCTATGGTAATGTTGCTCAGGAAAGAAGAGGTGGTGACCGCATTTCTAACAAATTCAATGAGGGACAACAAGGTGTTATAAAATACATCAGCTCTTTAAAGTGTTTAGAATCGCATTATTGTCGTAGCAATACTCGTCGAAGTTACCTTTCCTCTGATTTAAGTATAGAAAAGTTAGCAAATATGTACAACGCTCAAGCCAACGAGAACTTGAAAGTGAAAAATTCGTACTTTCGCCAGATTTTTGTGCATATGTTTAATTTGGGCTTTGGTTCACCTAGGGTCGATGTATGCTCGACGTGCCTGGAACTTTCAGAAAAAATAAAGCAAACAACCGATCCTCGACAAACCGCATCTTTAAAAGCTACCCAAGCTATTCACAAAAAAAGGGCTAAAGCTTTTTTTGCATTACTAAAAGTACAAGAAAATGAAACTCTTACGCTCTCATTCGATTGCCAGAAAAATTTGCCCAGTCCCAAAATTCCAGATCAGGAGACTTACTATCGACGTCAACTTTACTTCTTCAATTTTTCTATTGTTGTTGGTAGTTCTCAGTGCAAAATGTCTCCAAATAATTGCTTTAGCTACGTATGGACAGAAGGAACTTATCCAAAAGGTTCAAATGAGGTAGCGTCATGTGTATTTCATTGTCTGCAAAACTTAGATACATCACAAATTAAGAAGATAAAACTTTTTGCAGATGGCTGCGGTGGCCAAAACAAAAATAAAACTATGATTGCTATGCTACACAGATGGCTTCTATTCGCTCCTAAGAACGTTGAAGAGATACAATAATAATTGATATTTCCAGTACGAGGCCATTCTTTTATACCAGCAGACCGTTTATTCGGTCTTTGCGTAAAAGAGTTCAACAAAAAAGAAATTATCGAGACTCCAGATGGCTATGTTAAAATAATTGAAAAGTATGCTACAATAAAACGACTAGGTATTGACGTAGATATTTTTGATTGGAAGCAAGAGGCAGTTTATTTTAAACCTATTTCTCAATTGCACTTTAAATTTCAGCCTCCAAAAAAGTTCCAATTCAAGCGAGCAGCAAAATCCCAGCACATGATTCTCATCCAAGCAGAACAGTTTTATTACCACTTCATTGGTAATTTCAAATCCATTATGAAAGGGAAAGAAAATATTTTAAGCATTAATCCTTCAAAAATTGCTAAGGACAATACATTAGTAAACAAGAAAAAATTATCTGATGTTAAAAGGCTTCTTGAATTGCATTTTGGGTCTGATTGGCAATCTAATACATGCTTAAAGTTTTACGTCCATTTTTTTGCTTCTTGTGAAGGACGTAGTGAAGTTAGTGCAGAAGTGGAAGAAGATTTATGTGGCATAACTGAAGAAGCACCAGAATTATGTGTCTAAAATGTTATTTTTTTCAATTTTCATTAAGAATGTAATAAAATCATCATCCAATATATTTTTGACTCACTTCTTAACTAGTTGTTATTACTTTCAAATTAAAGCAAAATGAATAAACTCCATAAACTGAGATACAAAATGCAAAAAATTCAACTTTTGGGAGCAAAACAGATAAAATCCATTTTCAAAATAATAATTGAGCCGTTTAGAAATTTTTTGAGAACTCAAGATTTCTGCACAATAATTTACTCAAACATCTAAACATATTTTACATGTTTTCAAAATAAAATATCTTAATATGAAGCGACCACCGTTTTTTGCCCTTTTCTCAAAAGTGACGTCTTTGGACTTAACGCGTTTTGCTTCTAAGCAACTCACTTCATACCATCATAATGTATTATGTACAATTTACCTAATGTTGCTTATCTCTTTGTTTTAATAAATTTGTAGTGCACTTCTGATGAACCTATTAATCAGTTGGCGAAATATTAAGTGAGAAAAAAAGAGAATTGTTTTAATTCCAGACCGACAGAACCTGTAATATACAAAAGAAAATTATTTTTAATAATATACTATTGATAACAAAACAAACAAATTTGTCTCAGTGGTTCTCTATAATTGCTTAACTACTATTTTCTAAATTTTTAGAATAATATATAATAATAAATTAAAATATATATCCCTTCAAACATCCTATTTGTTTTAGGTATTTAGACAATCCTTCACAGCCCACTACACAATCTACGACGTTAGTAAAGAGTAAGTACTTACATAAATTTTTTATCCTTGACATAATTTTCAATCATTTAATCAAAAATAAACATAAACATTTTATTTCTAACGTTATATGTCGTTTTTTTATCATTCTTTTATAAATTGCTTTGGGATTTTTATCCACTATTATTCACCACTTTTGTTGTAAAAATTTATTTAAAAATTCCTTAATAAAAGGTATATATTAAAACACCCGACTTGTTGCTATCAACTAGTCCTCTTAGACACTTTGTCTCAGGACTAGCAACTTTCAATGGAGTGTTACGTTACGCCATGTTATCTATTCCTATTGTAACTTAAGCATCCTAGTATATAAAATCAAATAATAGAATACAAATTTAATATAACATCATTTAACGGGTTTTTACCCATGTATTTAGTGGCTCAACCTTGGTTATAATTTTAAATTTCATGTTTGTTTTAATTAAAGTGGTTGTACTTTTAGGAGAGCACTGATGATGGAATATTAATTCCGAAAACATTCTGTGATGTAGCCCGATATAGTGTTTTGATATATACCTTCTATAAAGGAATTCTTAAATACATGTTTTGTCATACATGGTATATAGCCAGCTACAGGAATTTAGTTTCCTTGTGGATATTTTGTTGTAGTTCATCTTCTAGATATCTATAAGAAGCGATCCAATTGATATTACTTAACATAAAACTACTTAACATAATAGTGAGGGATAGGGTTTACTTTAGTTGGTTATCGAAGAAATCGTGTTTGATAAGAACATAATTTTGATATTATAAAACACTGTAAGAGACCAGAAAACGATAACATACATAATATGAATCTTGAATTAAACACCTAAATAAGATAACTGTATTATTGGCACTTTTTATTCGTTTAAAAGTCGTCTCGATACCAGTTTATATGAAATTTAATATGGTTCAAAAGTCCGCTGCAGTTTCGTTATTCGCTGGGTGGTTCTCATTCGAAATATCAAAAATATTCTATGACTATTGCGCATAAATCGGAGCGAATTTGACCAGTGGCATTGTTATGTTTGATTTGAGGGCCACAGTGGTTTGTGACTTCTTATTCTCACACATCCACCTAACATCTTACTTAACATCAACCGTAACATTTATTTCAGCTACCTTTATCTTCTTTTCCTCACTCCTCTTTATAGGCTACACTTCATCCCCGTACAACAACGTTCCACCAAAGAAAAAGAAGACGAATATACTATGGATTACAGATCTAGCTAGTGACAAAGTAAAGTTCAACCCAAGATATCTGAGAAAAAAATACTGGGGAAAAATGAATCGACTACGAAATGATACAGAAATGTCGTTATTTATCACTTTAATTTACTAGAATTGAAGAATATTTAACAGTCTACACGAGATTATTTTTAATAAAAAACGAATCGTAAAATTATTTTGGGTAATAAAATAACTTGATTTATCAAAGATCACTTTAAAATTTGACGTAACAAAAGAAAACTGTCGTTAAAAATTATTCTTCTAAGTTTTGAGATATTGATTGAAACTGTTGTGGATAAAGTCCCTTATTAAAGTTTTATTATGAGGCTGTGTAAAAGTCATCCTCAAGTTTCTTTGATATTGTAGCTTCAAACAGGGGCGGATTCAGAATTTTTTTTAAAAGATAGATTTTTAAAAGATTTTAAAAGATTTAATAAAATAATATTCTTATAATTTATCCAAATTCTTATAGTTTTGTTTGTTTGTATATATATATATATATATATTATATATATATATATATACCCATATATATATATATATTATATATATATATATATATATATATATATATATATATATAAATATATATATATATATTATATATATATATATATATAGACCCGTTGAATTTAATAATAAATGTAATTCACCAAGATAGTGTTAGATTCTCTGTCAACAGTTGAAGAATAAAAGAAAGGATATCAGCTACTTCTGAAATCTACTATCTGAAAAAAAACGCCAAATCCATCATAAATAAGTTCACTCTACTTCTAGACATCAAAAATTTCTTACACCCAGAAAAAAATCATCGCGAATTCCAAGAATGCACGGCCTGCTAAAAATCCATAAGCCCAATGTCCACCTAATATCCATCGTCAGTGCAGCTAACTGCCATATCCCGAAATTGGTAAAATATCTCGTCTTATCCTTACAACCCTTAGCCGAAAACGCCTCGTCCTTTGTCAAAAATTCTTTCCTTTCCATTGATCTTCTGAAAAATATTTCTATTTTACCTTTAGATATACTTCTTAGCTTTGACATTGTTTCTTTATTCACCAAAATTTCTATTCGCGAAACTATTTCCATCTTTGACTCTAAACATCAAATCCCCCAAGATACATTACCTGTTATAAAACACTGCAAGTCTAATACATACTTTTCATTTCAAAATCACTTCTATCGTCAAATATCAAAGGTACTCCAATGAGATCTCAGCTCTCTCCCGTAATAGCTGATATCTACATGGAACATTTCGAAACAGCAGCCCTGTCCTCATCAAATCTCAAACCCACCTGCTGGTTACTGTACGTTGATGACACCTTTGTCATTTGGCCCCATGGTAAAGACACATTAGATCTCTTCCTCTCCCACCTGAATGGAATACATCCCAGCATTCAATTCACGATGGAAGTTGAGACTAAGGCGTCTTTGCCATTGCTTGATATTTTTATTCAGAAATACCCACCTCAGAGTTTTTCATATTCCGTGTACTGGAAACCCACCCATACAAACCGTTATCTCAATTCCCAGTCACATCATCACCCCGCCCAACTGAATTCAGTTATCAACACTCTTGTTCCCCGTTCCATAGACTTAGCGACAACAATTACAGATCATCCGAAATCAATTCAATAAGTAAACACTCTCACAAATTGGCTACCATAAATCCCAAATCAATAGGAGCATTCAAAAACATTTAAAACCACATCTTATCCAAAAAAAAAGAAATCTTGCCACCTGATCAACCCAAAATCTTTCTACCTGTTATCAAAGGTGTCACTGACAAGAGCAGTACAACTCTTAACCCTCTGAACATCAAAACCATCTTCACTAGTCACTCAAAGTTGTCCAATCTCGTCAGATCTGTAAAAGACCAAATCTTCAATAAAGACCATGGTGTCTACGAGATACCTTGTTCTAGTTGCCCACGTACATAGATAGGACAGACAAACCGGTGAATCCATAACCATATTTACGAACATTATATATCAGTAAAACACTGTTTTTAGATCAAGTCGGAATCCTTTAACAATGTAATACTCATGATTTTATTTTGAAAATTTTTGAATAACTAAAAATACTACGCGAGTATTCATTTCATTTTTGATAACTCCAAAATGGAATTTACCAAGTAGTATGTGGAAGTGAAAGCTTAGTAATGATGTAACTAAAATCTACCAGCTAAACAATTATACAAACCGAATGGGAGAAGTGTGTCGAAAGGAAAACGCCGTTAATAGTGAGAAAAGAAGAATGAGAACATATAAAATGTTTAAAATTTTGTTTAAAACTAAAATAAAAATAACATAAAATTAAATGAAAACCTTGGCGCTCGTATGCCACCCCTGTACAAGGCCTGCGCCGGAAACAAATTGTTCATTAAGAAAACCCTGGACCTTTTTTTACACAATGATGAACAATTACTGTAATGAGTAAGGGCAAGATTAACTTGACTTTTTTTAGCGTTTCCGCATCTCTCTTTCCTTTTGAGCGGTAATCTTTAGAAACTGCAACAAGCTTTTTATCATTTCAGTGTGTGAGAAAATACCAATTAGATCGTAATTGTCATAATAGTTATTCTTTTCTTGGTTTGAGAAAATAAATTTCAAATCAGATGATTTATGATACTGTTTAGATGGCTGTAAAGAGCTTTGCTTGTATTTTATTGTATTGTAGATGCCTTTTCAAGAAAATATCGTACTATGTTTTTCGTAACCCTCTAACAAACAAGATCATGAAAATTATCTGTTGAAGTTGAAATTGTTTTTCAGGCTAATATAGGCAAAATTTACTTATTTTTTCATTCCCTGCTAAAAATCTTGTCTAGAATGAATGATAGGTGAGAAATAGTGAAAACCCTCTACAGACGGTTTTGTCGGGTTATAAGTAAAAAATAAATATAGTAGATGTTTATAACAAATTTTATTGAGAGAAGTATGAAGTAAAGCTAGCGAAAATTTCGAAAAATAGCACAAATTTTAAGTTTAAGTTTGTATCTGCTTTTAGCTCAA